TGTTCCATCTCCACTGTCAGGGGATGTAGAAGGGCAGCATTAACAAAGGGATAAGCGCCCACCCTTGCACTGACTTGCTGTGTTCATCCAGTAGTCCTACCCAGACCAAGTCTTGCCCTTTCTGCTCATTGCCCCAGAAGCAAACCCTCAGGCTATCAGGATCTCAGGACTTCCATCTGTGCCCAACTCAGCTCCCTGTCTCTGGGATCTGGGACAGACATTGAAGCTCCAGAATATTCATGATGGCAATAGGACCCAGCAGTACTTATTTGACATTCATTTGAATCAGTGCCTGGGCTAAAATCCCACATGTGGACAGCAGAGGTTGCATCTGCAGGGAGCTATAGGCTCTGGGATGGGTACATCGATTTCCATATCCTGTGCATTCCATTTATTTGCTAAGCTTTGGACAAATTTCATTTATAATTTGAGTAGATCCCTCATTTCTTCCAGGTCTATGTTTAAATGTCCCCTTATCACAGAAACCTCCCTTTGGCCACTTGAAATAAAATCATACTGCCTTCTCACGTGTTACTCTCCATCTCCTCCGACCCTCCACTTGTCCTTACTACCACTTGCAATAGATTCGTCCACTGATTTGTTCTCCCACTACAATGTCCACTCTTGAGAGTAAGGGCTCTGTCTCTTTTGCTTATTGCACTATCGTTAGCATGTCCAACATGTGAGGCCTTTAGTATGTGCCCAGTATAAATATGTGGGATAAAAGCAAGACTGGGATGAGCTTGCTCGTTGGCACACTGCCAGCCTGTCTGTAGAAGGGCCTCATTCCCAGGAGAGAGCAAGGCACCCATTAGGGTTACTTTTCAATTCCTGATTTCTTTAGCCAACATTTATCGAGAACTCAGTATTAGGTGTTGAAGAGCTCCATCCTACTCTCTCAAGGCATATCAACTGGTGGAGGATGCAGACATTTAAATTAAATCCATTTTTAAGATCCACTTCAGAAATCAGTCACTCCTGGGGGCCTTTCTTGAACATCCCTCCTGCCTCTCCAAACCTGGGTTAGGCATTCTTCTTATGATTTTTCATGGCATCTGTGAAGAGCTTTGTCATGGTCCATTTGGAAACCAGCAAGCACAGTGCAGTATGCTTTCTAAGCCTTTCCTTATCAGTAAAGGCTTCATCAGAAGGATTGTTCCTTACTCATTATTGAATATAAATGCCTGATAGATAAACAATAGTCAATAAATATGAGTCAGCTATTATTACTGCTGCCTCTGTATGCATTCAGTAGCCAGTATTTATTTAGCTGTGTGTGTGAATGCATTTTAATAGTACCTGTTCTTCTGAAGGTATGCAGGCTTAGAAACAGCTTTATATTATGTTTCGTTCTATCTTGCTATTCTCTATAATATTCTCCATTTCGGGCTCTCTTTGTGTTCTGGGAGATGCAGTCATTCAACTGGTATAGAATTTTCGCAAAGAATTTTCAGGGGACTCCTTGTGTCCCCAGCTGTGAGTTGGAGCTCTGATTTATTTAAAAAAATTTTTTTTGATGTGCATATGTCAGGAACTCTTAGAAGCATGGAGTATCTGTTTATTCCAAGAAGGGCAGTTATGGGAATTCTCTCAATAAATACTTGTGGGTTCATGATATTTTGATGCTGCCACTTTGATGTGGCTGTTTTGATTCAGGGACATTTTGTCATGGCCTCGAAAGCAAACCCTTAGACATGCAGCAATTTTGTGTAGCTAAGAAATGTACACAACAGGCATCCAGCCACATCCCAGGGCTCAGGGTCGGGTGTGTATGTTAACCTAATATTTGTGTTTTTTCATCTTGATGTGGCTGTTTCGATGCCTGAGGCTTTCATTACATCATATGGATCTTACCAGAATGTTTGCTTTAAATATTTGCTTGTCTCACTTGAATACCGACCATGTGCCTGATTCTAATTTCCATGGCAGGAGGGATGCAAGTGAAGCAGAAGGCAAGGGGATCAACAATCTCAAGGGGACCCCGAGTTTTGCCAAGGGCTGGCTGAGGGAGCACATTCGCCATCGCAGAACGCATGCTACCTCTGTTCTTGTGGGCTGTTTCCTGGTTTAGAGCTTCACATTACAGTACTGGCTGGAGAAATGTTTAAGAATGGAAAAAAAGATCCCAATGCAAACGCAGAAATATGGTCTCTCCATGTTAAACAGATCATTTTGATCATTTGCTCCTGCTGTCTTGCAAAAGTACTTTTCCTTCTGTTTCCCATGGTGATGGGAGGATGTGGTATTCACTACTCACTGATCAGAAAGGCTCTGGGCCGCAGGCTGGGAGAACCATGCCCTATTTTCTTCTTTAGGTGATATGAGGGATCATTAAATACATATGCCAGGGGTCAAAGTTTGCCTCAGACCTCGACTAGATGACTAGAAACAGAGGCCATGAAGGGGAGATTGAGAAGTGTTTGTTCTGACCAATGTTTTTATCTGAGTTTTCTACCAGATCATGCAACATTATTTCCAACTTTAAAACATTTTGGTAGCAAGTATATTAAGTGGCCTGTTATTAAAAAAAAAAAAAACAACCTAAGTCATCATCTTTGGGTCCCGGATCTTAACTCTGGGACTGGAAACTCAGTTCTTGGTGTCTTGATGGAATGTGGTACCACTGCATAAGTTGCCCAAATTTATATGTCACCTTTGCCATGAACTTGTTGAGAATGGTCTCTTCCTCACGTTCCCTAGAGAAAGGAACTCCTAGATGACGTACCATAAAGCATGCCTGTGCCTAATTTTCACAAGGTGTAGGTACCAGGCCCTTCTTGCCACACTCCACACAGTGAGTGAGTGACAGAGTCAGGATTTTAAGCCACAGCGCTCTGACCCTGAACCCTCGCTCTTCCCGTTATTACCAGTCTATAGATTGTCATGGGCTCCAAATGAGGGTCTGTCCAGTCTGTGGTGAGACTATCTGGGGTGGGAGTAACACTCTGGTGTCTTGGAAGGCACTGTCCTGCCATCTATTGTCATCTATTCAGAGATGGAGGCCTATCCTTCTAGGTATTGAGGATCCCCCAGCCCCTCTTGTCAAATGAGGTGGTTGTAAATGGCAGTTGCAGAAATGTATTAAGTTGTTACGTCAAAGTAAAAAAACTGTCACCCCTCGTGCCAATGCCCAGGCTTAATTGTGGAATAGCATGGGCCTGGGCCTGTCAAAGGTGGGCAAGGAGCAGCTGCAAGGGCAACCTGGGTCCACCTGGGGTTTTGCAGCCACAGATGGAAGGGACCAAAGTGCCTCTTAGATCCCTACATATTTCACTCTGTGTGGCATTGGCCTGTGGCCAGTTTGACAGTCCTCATTATACAAGTGACCTTCTAAAAGCCCCAGTAGACTGAACTTTCTTTTAGCTGGATAAGCTAGCTTTTCCTACGGGGTGTGGTGGGGTAAGGCTTGGGTTATCAGCCTCTGTAACTTTTCTGTGTCCAGGATGTGGAAGGCTAGAGCTTGGAGGCATTTTCATCTTGGCCTAACTCAGGCCGTGACGCTCCTGAAATCACCATTTGGCTCTTATTTAAAGAATGAAAGAGCGATTGTATATCTTCTTCTGCGAAGTGTCTGTTTAGTTCAGATATTCAACTTCTCTAGTAATTAGAGAAATGCAAATCAAAACGACTCTAAGATTTCATCTCACTCAAGTCAGAATGGCAATTATCGAGAATACAAGCAATAATTAATGCTGGTGAGGATGCAGGGAAAAAGGCACACACATACATTGCTGGTGGGACTGCAAGTTGTTGCACCCACTATGGAAAGCAGTATGGAAATTCCTTAGGAAACTTAAATTGGAACCACCATTTGACCTAGCTATCTCATTCCTCAATCTATACCCAAGGGACTTAAAATCAGCCTACTATAGTGACACAGCCACATCAATGTTCATAGCAGCCTAATTCACAATAGATAAACTGTGGACCCAACCTAGATGCCCTTCAACAGATGAATGGATAAAGAAACTGTGAGATACACACACACACACACACACACACACTAGAATATTACTCAGCATTAAAAGAGAATAAAATTATAGCATTTTCAGGTAAATGGATGGAGTTGGAGAAGATCATGCTAAGTGAAGTTAGCCAATCCCCCAAAACCAAAGGCTGAATGTTCTCTCTGATAAGTGGATGCTGATCCATAATGGGGGAGTGGGGGCATGGGGAGAATGGAGGAACTTTGGGCAAAGGGGAGGAAGAGTGGGGAAGGGGGCATGGGGGTATGAAAGATGGTGGAATGAGATGAACATCACTACCCTAGATACATGTATGACTGCACATGTGGTGCGACTCTACATTGTGTACAACTGGAGAAATGAAAAGTCGAGTTCCATTTGTGTACAATGAAGTGAAATGCATTCTGTTATCACGTATAACTATTTAGAACAACAGCAACAAAAAAGAATGAAAGAGCTCAGGTTTTAGATCCAGACTATCTGGATTGGCATCTCCATTTCCTTTAGGCTTTGCAACCTTAGGCAAGTTAGTCTTTGTAAAATGGAATGGGGAATGCTTCTCCCCCACCCACAGGATGCATGGTGGGGTCTCTTGAAAACCTGACCACAGCTTGCGGTCTTCTTTTCTCTACTGCAAGGACCCAAGGAAATGGGAGTAAAAGCATCACTCACATAAGTGCTCCAGGTGTCCTACTGTCCTGCTTATAGGTGAACTGGAACTCAGCATGCCCTGCGTCACTCTTTTTTGGGAGGAGGGGGTGGTTACTGAGGATTGAACTCAGGGGCACTAGACCACTGAGCCACACCGAGTTGCTTAGAGCCTCACCTTTGCTGAGGCTGGCTTTGAACTCGAGATCCTCCTGCCTCGGCCTCCTGAGTCACCGGGATCACAGGCGTGTGCCACCACGCCCAGCCTGCATCACTCTTGTTTTTATATGCCCAGCTGTGCCTGGGGGAGACCCCTTTACCTGAGCCTCTGAAGCTGCACAGGGAGGTGCCCGCTGACTCCACTCACCACCGTCCCTTCTGTTGCAGTGCCAACAATATGCCCAAGCAGGTGGAAGTACGGATGCTTGACAGCCACCTCAGCTCAGAGGAGCCGAAGCACCGATCTCTGTGCCTGCGCTTGTGTGACAAGCTGGGGAAGAATCTCCTGCTCACACTGACGGTGTTCGGTAGGTGCCAGATGCCATGTCACTCTCTCTTCTCGGGGGCTCTCCTGGCTCTGCAGCCAGCACTCTTACAAGAAAGGGAACTGCGTGCTCTGCCCAAGGCCTGTGGCCTAGGCAAAATCTTTCCCATCACCTACTCTAGCCATTTGTTCTGCTTTGGACTCCAGTAATCCTCAAGTGTCAGGCATAGGCTTGTCCTATGGGTGTGTTAGCACGCAGATTCCCAGGCTACACTCATGGAGACCATCTGAAGTGAGGCCCTAGACTCTGCACCTTAGCAAACCTTCTAGGCGATTCCAAAGAAGGTGGTCAGTAGATCACATTACCTGCATCAAGGCCAATGGCTGCAGGAAACCCCACTAGAAGGGCTCCCAGGCACCTTCTGCAGATCATTAACTTAGGTTCACTGGGCACGTCAGCCAATGAGAGCAGCGTGCAAGAAGCACATGGTGAAGCATTGATCTGCTTCCTCTTCCTCCTGGCTTCAGGCCACATGCTGGGGTTGTTCTTCTGTGTGGACGGTTGCTAAAATCTTGGTCTTCAGGTTTCCAACCAGGGTTTTTTAAAAACGGGGATAAATGGCAGTTTCTTGCAGTGACAGCCACATCATTTCTCTTTGAAATCCCTCCCTTGTTCTCCAGCCCTCACTTAGCAACACAGAGAGGCGATGATGGCTCATCCTCCCCACCCCTCACACCCACCCACACACCCTCCATCTGTGGCCCAGCCTGTGAGCCAGTCATCCTGGATGCCAGTGGACCAGGGTCAGGATGCGGAATTTGCCATGGCTCATTTCACTTAATAATAGGAAAACCATAAGTGTGGTTGGATTTTCCAAGGATTTCCCTCCATGTAAGCAGATCTCATTCATCCTAGGACTTCAAGTTGGACAGTACCATTTCTACCTGTAGAAGAAAATGTGACCAGGCCTTCAGCCTCATTGCTCTGCCCACATTCTGGAATTTACTCCCAAAACCTCACACCTGGAAATGCCTCCCCTCCCTTCCAGCCTGAGGTGCTGTGACCTCACTTGTGGGTTCCACAGCAGTGTGTAGGGTTGGCCACCCTTGTCAGGGGTCTGAAGTTTTGCTTGGGGGGATCTGTGGGTTTGTGAGGCTAAAGCCTCCTGCCAGCATCTCTGCTGGATGGGGTTCCTCCCACAGTCTATATTTTCAGTGTCCTTGAGCTCCCATAAGACCAGCAAGTTCAAGGATCAAGTAAAAGGGCAAACATGGAGGGTGAGCTATGGGGAAGTTATTGGAAGCCCCCTGCCCCCCACCCCCTGCCCCACCAGGGGACAAAAAAGGAACGCATAGTATTTTGGTCAGTCATGTTCATCTTATCTGGCCTTTGGTTAAGAAGGAAGACACATGCTTCGTGCCAAGTTTTGTGGCCAGACCTGGGCTGGGAGGAGAAGCCATATGGGGCACTGTGAGTTGTTTCTATTCATGAACAGTCAATATCTTCAAAGATGGTGGAACCAGGTCTTTTTTTTTAGCTTGCATAAAGCCTTGAGAAGGCTCTCCTGCCTCTCCTGGAGCTGCCTGTGGGAACAGTTAGCGCTCCCCAAGGGTCTCTTGCTAATTGTCAAAATTAACTTCACTTACCTTGTGCTTTTATTACATTTTATTCATCTTCTAGTAAGGCGGAGCATGAGAATGTTGAGTAGCATTGAAGTAAGTCCTAGAACTATTTATTTGACTGTGGCAAACAATAAACCCAGACTGTCCCCTTCCTCCTTTCCTTCCTCCCAGGTGTCATCCTGGGGGCAGTGTGTGGAGGGCTGCTTCGCCTGGTGTCTCCCATCCACCCCGATGTGGTCATGTTGATAGCCTTCCCAGGGGATATCCTCATGAGGATGCTAAAGATGCTCATTCTCCCTCTCATCATCTCCAGCTTAATCACAGGTAAGCCCCTCTCCCTGCTGCTGGACAATGGAGATTTTGAATTGACTGAAGAATCACAGTTTGGTTGAGTGAGCAAATGCCTGTGTCATTTCACTTTAGAGCCTCCTTTTCCCGGTCTCTAAAATGGAGATAAGCAATCCTAAAAAAAGAAAGTGCTTGCTATTTGTGTTGGTGGACCCAACTTTCCCTGTAACAAGACAAGAAGGAAACAACTGCGTGTTCAAAGGGGTGATATCTCTAGTGATTTTAAGTCTTGACATGCACTTTTCTCAATTTTCTAAATTGCATTTTGTTCAGAAACTGATAAAAGTGAGGGATGGGAAAGGACACTGTATTATTTAATTGGCATGGACGAAGGTGCGCATTAAAAATAAATGAAATACTAGATATGAAAGCCCTTTGAGTTTCTCAGAACAAAGATATCCTTAATGGATGTCATCATGATTGCTTTTTGTTTTTGGCTAAAAGAATTCATGACTTTATTTGAGAGAATTATTTTCCCCCCTCCGTGGGCTTATACTGATTGTTTCCTCCTGCCACGTCCTGTTGTTCAAGCAGGGAATATGTTAGTGTTTAAGACTTGCTCTGAGTGAGGGTGGGCAACTGGGCCTTCATCCAGGTGACCTTGAGGAGTTGCCCTTCTTTCTGGACTGTGCGCCTTACGAAGGGAATGAGGCTCCAGCAGCTCCAAGAGATTCAGATGCTAAGCCAGTCTTGCAGCGGGTTGACCAGTGAGCCCACTGGGCAGGAGGGCTGGGGTTTGGGATTGCATGCTCAGAAGCTAACCAGGGTCTCATCATTCAGCCCTGGATTAAGTGAATCTGTTTTTTACCTCCAATGTTTTCCAACAAACCAAGAAAATTATTTTAAAAAAAAATGTTCTCTGCTAACAGATGACCAGCCTGGTAAGGAAACCTGGCCTCCATCGCCCAGAATTGGACTGTAGGTTGTAAAGAGAAGTAGGTCGTATGTGGGTCAACTCAATTCAGAGAAGTTCGCATCAGTGACTTCCTCCCCCACAGCAAAAAGAACGGATCCCCAGAAAAGGGCTCCATCCTCTGCCTAGCAAAAGCAGGAACTGAAACCAGGAAATGGACAGTTTGAAGAAACAACTAGAAAAAAACCCAGTGAAGGCTGGAGTTTTTGTGACTGGCTTGGAATTTTCTCTCACCTCCCTTCGTAGAGCTGAGGGCCACAGCTGGTGGCTGCTTTGCCAAATGCTCTTCAAGTCCCACGAGGCGGGGGGATGAGGACCATCAGCCTGCACCTCAGGGAGATGAGAGGGCTGTGCTCAATCCCTGTTCTCCTCTCTGTGTCGATGGCCAGTAATGTATTCAAAAGACACTTCGAGTATAGCATGGGTCGACCAACTTCTTATTTTCCTAAATAAGGACCTTAAATAATAATAAAGTGAAACACTGGCAGGTACCAGCACCATCACTCCACAGAAAGGAACCTTAAGGCCACAGAGTAGAAAGGGCAGAGTGTCAGAATTTAAGATGGAATAGATTCAACTTTAACTCACGACTGTAGACCAATAAACATGTCGTGACCGGCCACTTGCAAACTCTGAACTGTATGATCCCTTACTCTCTCCAGTTCTCCAAGAATCTCAAAAATATCCTTGGAAAATAGAATTGTAAATTGTAGGCTAGGTCAGATGTGTAGTGGTTGGGGTGTAGTTGACCCCTGATGCGTATGAGTAACGGGGAGCCAAGGCTTAGAGACGTGCAGACGTGGAGCCTTAGCAGAAGCCTGGCAGCATTAATCCTTCTGGATTTCTTTTCCTCCCAGGGTTGTCGGGCCTGGATGCTAAAGCTAGCGGGCGCTTAGGCACGAGGGCCATGGTGTACTACATGTCCACAACCATCATCGCCGCCGTGCTGGGGGTCATCCTGGTCTTGGCCATCCACCCTGGCAATCCCAAACTCAAGAAGCAGCTGGGGCCGGGGAAGAAGAACGACGAGGTGTCCAGCCTGGACGCCTTCCTGGATCTTATTCGAAATCTCTTCCCAGAAAACCTGGTCCAAGCCTGTTTCCAACAGGTAACCTGAGGTTCTGATTTTCTCTCTTCTCCAAACTTCTGAGTTATCAAGGAATGTCGAGAGAGGCCATTTCCAATGAACCAACTCTGGGTAGCAATTTTCTTAATATTTAATTATCTCTCTCCAGGCCCAGGAATTGGATGAAGTGGTCTGGGGCAGGATCTTAGGATTGGAGTCTCATGTTTTTTGGTTTTTTTTTTTTAATCTTCCCTTTTCTCCTGCTCTCTTTGTGTGTGTGTGTGTGTGTGTGTGTGTGTGTGTTGGTTTCTTCTTTTGTCTCTTCCTTTCTTTTCTGCTCCATCTCTGAATTGTGCCTGACATATTTTAATCAGTCTTGTTTACAACCCTCTGAAGCTTAGTAGTTCTCAATCTTGGCAGTATAACAAAACCCCGTGTGGCACTTTAAAAAAAGTTCAACCACCCTGCAAAATCAGAATTTTAAATCCATCTTTAAGATGGATGGGTGGCTCGGGTATTTTTTTTAAAGCTGTGGAAATAGCACATGCATGGATTGTGAAAAGTTTAAACAGTATAAGAGGGAGATAAAATAAAAACTAGAAGATCCCCTCCCCCACTCTAGAGCCACTTAGGTTGAAATTTGTTTCTTTCCATATATATATATATATATATTTTTTTTTTTGCCACATATGCATGTGTGCCTGCACTTAGAAGTGCAACCCAAGTGCAGTGTGTTACATGCACCTCTTTCTTTTTCACAATTGTATAATATTTCTATGGTGTAAGTTCCTAGAAGTGAAAATGCGCTGCCAGAAATCTTGGTACTTCGAATTGGCTGGATATTGCAAAGTAACCTTACAGAAAAGGGTTGAACTATGTATTCCTGCTGACAGCACACATGAATGTTTTTTTTAAAAAACTGTGACTTTTAAAAACAGTTGATTCTGCCAAGTAGAACCACTGAATAACCACTGAATCAGCTGCCTAGACTCTATTGGCTTATTTTCTGTCCCCAAGGCCAGAAACTTAGGTTAGAACTTACCGGAGTTCCCAGCAGCCCAGGGAGGGGCGAGGTGACAGCCATTGAGCCTCTGTCAACCATTTCCAGGGAATCACAAAAGAAGGAACTTAGGAGACAGAAGGGAAGTCTGTGTCCCCAGTTGACCCCAAGATGCAGTTGCCAACCTCTGCTGAATCCAGAACACATGTGTTCTCTGATCTTAGATGCTATTTTACAAAGAAATGATAAATATTTGAGTGACAGATATGCCCACTATCTTGACTTGATGATTACACAGTGTGTACATATATTAAAACATCACATTGTAGCCCATAAATATTATAATAATTATGTTAACTAAAAACAAAGTAAAACTAAAAAAATGCTAGTTTGGTAGTACATGCAGCATGGACCTGTATCCGAGGAAATCATTCCAAGAGGAGAAGTATAATGGGAACCACTAGAATTAGACTGGAGAAGAGGGTGCTTTCTGTGCCCACCCCCCCCCCACCCCCTGCCATTGTGTCATGTGCTTGCCCAGCCGCCAGCCAGCTTAGAAAGATGAAATTACTTGCTTTGGAGTGACAGACGCAATTGGCTGCCAAGTCTGTTCTTAAGATTTTGGAAGGAGCCCTCTGGAACTTCTGGAAGTGTGGCTCCTGGGAGCTGAGCTAGGAGGAGACTCTGGAGGGTCGGAGCGTGGGAGGCCCTGGGAAGGACACAGCTGGGCCTCCCTCCCTCCTGTGCCTGCTGCTGTGCCTCCAGATGCACTTCCTCTCAGTCTGGAAGGCAGGCCCACGAAGCAGTCAAGCCCTTGGAGCTGTGGTTCCGATCTTAAAATGAATTTCTGTGATGTCCGCTGGGCTCATATTCAGGGACCTCTCTGGCTGATAGACAGTCTTTGCAGATAGCTGTCCATGGCAAAGGCCACCGTCTGTGACCCTGAAATAGAGGAATGCACTATTCTCTGCCTCACCCTGGCTTGGTCCTACCCTCCAGTGACCAAAGTCGTATGAGAACTGAGCTTTAGTCTCTAACTCAACCCAGGATTAGAGTTCCTTTCTGTTGGGACGACCTGAGGAATAATAGTGTAGACTCCTTTACCTCATGGAGCAGATTCCTTTAGCCTGAGTAGGAGGAGGGCCTTGGAGGAGAGGAGGCCATCAGGCCCTGGGTCTCTGAGAGCAGGGAGGCTTCTGGCTTGGTGTTTAGGACTGACCGGACCAAGGTGAGGTTTCCAAGGGAGCAACTGGCTGTGACGTGTAGCCTGACAGCACAGCTCCAGTCCAGCAAGAGGCGACGCAGGATCTTTTCTTCCAGGGAACTCAGCCAATGCCTGTGGGCCCTCTGCTCAGCATCAGATGCCACAGGAATGAGAGAGGAGGGCGCAGCTCCAGGGCTTATGCATATCCAGGGGGAGGGAGAGAGCCCCAAACACGTGTCAGGTGAATACACAGGATAGGTGCCTTCTGAGGGCCGGATGACGTGGGCTGAGTAGTCACTAGGGGAGATATTTGAACTGAACCGATAGGAAATCAGAATGAGCTGGGCCTGTGGGAGGCTGGGAAGAGAGCCTTCCGAGCTGAGGCAGAGGCCAGTGGGTGGTGTTTAGAAAGGAGAAGGGAGGCCAGTGTGAGGCCACTGTGTAGGGAAAGAGTAGGAGAAAGCCCAGCACAGAGGGACCTGTAGGCCAAAGGCAGATGTGGGTTCTTCTAAGAGGGCTTGAGCCAGGGAGGTGACTGGTTTTCTATTTAAAATCACAAGAAGAATAAAATAATGAATCTGGCAGATATGGAACTATAGGCAGCTATAACCGTAGATGGTAGGTAGACAAGAAGGAAGGTGAGTGAGTGAGTCAGGAGGGGTGTGTGTGTGTGTGTGTGTGTGTGTGTGTATACTGGGGATTGGACCCAGGGCACTTTACCTCTATACTACACCCCCAGTCTTTTTTTTTTTTTTTTTTTTTTTGAGACAGAGTCCCACTAACTTTCTGAGGCTGGCCTTGAACCTGGGATCTTCCTTCCCCAGCCTCCCGAGTTGCTGGAATTCAAGGCGTGCACTGCCACACCGGGTGATTCTGCAGCTCTTAAGCTGGGAGGTGAGGGTGACCTGGACTCAGGTCGACTAGAGCTGGCACCCATGTGGGGTTGTCCACCCCAGACAGGCTCTGTGTCTCCGGGACTCAGGCAGAGGATTAGGCCTGTGTTTCAGTGTTCCCGTGTCCTCAACTTCAACTTCAGTTCCTGGCCTGTCTATTTGGAAGCTGGATTTTGGAGTCAAGCATAATACCTTTTGACCCTTGCTTCTGTCACTAACTAGCAATCCGCTCTGGGGTTGGCCACTGACAGGGGCAGTAGGTGTCAAACCTGGAGCGCCTGGCCTTCTACCTGATCCCTGCAGCCACCGTATGCTGGGCCAATGACCATGGCTGCCTCTAACACGAGCCCTGGCTTCCTTTTGCCTCCTCAAGACAGGCTGTCAGTTTTCTTTCCTGGGAGCCTGATTCCGCTATGTGGAGGCTTCCCCTCTGACCAGTCCTGTGTCTCTCTTTCCTACCACCGCCTCCCGGAGCAAGGGGCCAGCGGGCTGCCTCTTCTCTCCTTGCACAGCCTGTCCCTGCCCTAGCGCCTGGGCCAGGCTGAGAACAGAGCACCCGACTCATCTCAGAGAATGCTGGCCTCCCTCTCTCCCATTTTTATCATCTGGTCAACTCAGCGCTGTCGGGCCCAGCCGCAGGATTGGGTCCGCCTAGTCCAACGTGCAGCACAGGTAGAAGGAGCGACCTCAATGATGGTCAGGCCATTTGAGCTGAAGTCCCAGTTCTGCTAGTGACGATGACGTCTGAAGATCACTTGGCTTCTCCATGCGTCCTCTTTCATATCTATTCAGGTTCAGCCATCTGTCACCTTCTGCATGCCAGCTCTGACATTCTAGGATTCTGCCTGAGTTCTATTTTAATATCCTTGGAGGTGGTGCTTTTGGGGGCTCAGATGTGAGTTTTCACAGCGGTCTGTGTGCAAGGTGCCTGACACCTTTAAAAATAGGGCCGCTGCCCGGATATCGAGGAACGGCATGGGAGGTTCCTTGGGGGCCATCTGCGTGTAGTGACGTAGGGAGCACTGAGCTAAGGACAGTGGCCAGTACTGCCCAGAAAGAGCAGGTTTTCTCTCACCGAACACTACATTCAAAATACAAGCACATGCTCCTGCCATGGTGGCTGCAGGCAGCTGTCACACCTGGGGTCCTGATGGACACCCTGGTTCTGGAAGGAATCCAAAGTGAGAGTTGGCTTTTGATGACTGTCCGACGGGCAGGGAGAACCACCTCGCTGGGTCTCCAGCTGGACATTTGATGTTGTCCCTGAGGCCCAGAGGTGCAATCATGGTAAAGAAAGACACCCATCCCCGACTTTCAGCTTGCGTTCTGTCGCACAGGACAAGCTAATTAACCAATCCTGTAATTATCTTGAGATAAAGACAGTTGTATCCCACGGTATGTGTGTAATAAAATATCATTTCTTAAATACAAACATATAAAATAGTCTCCAATTCTCATAACCTTGTTTTGGCATTTCTTCATTATTTTTAACATAAGGGACCCTTAAAATATATGAGTGGCGGGGCTTTTTGTGACCTTTCAGATCAAGTCTTATCTGTGTGCTTTTTTTGTTTTGTTTTGTTTTGTTTTGTTTGTTCCTCCATTAGATTCAAACAGTGACAAAGAAAGTCCTGGTGGCACCTGAGTCAGAGGAGACCAATGCAACCAACGCTGTTGTCTCCCTGTTGAACGAGACTGTGATGGAGGCTCCCGAGGAAACTCAGATGGTTATCAAAAAGGGCCTGGAGTTCAAGGATGGGATGAATGTCTTAGGTAGGCAAACTGATTATGAGGGGGTTCCTGGCCCAGGGAGGCGCCTCTGCTGGCTGGACACAGCCTTTCCTGCGGTTCAAACTCCTCCTCTCAGCAGCTCCACCTCCCTCACACCTTTTCAGAAAATTAACTCTGCTGACCTCTAGGTGGAGCAGGAGGCTCTCTCTGGGGAGCAACCTGAGTCTCTCTGGGACTGGAAGCTGATAAGAGCAAGGGGAACCGGGCTAGCAGTCAGGTATGGGAAAGAGGAGGGGGCTGACATTCACCGGGCACATTCCCTGCCTCTCTGATGTTGGCAAGTGATCTTATCCGAATCTCCATGTTATTCCGTGACACATGCATTTCTTTCGCTGCCTAAGTGTTGTTTGGTGCTGCCTGTCTGTACCAGTGCTGTGCTAGACAAGGTGTCCTCCCGTCTGTAAACAAACGCAAAGCTACCAGTATCTTGGAGTATTGGAGTAGGGCCCCAGGGGCTTTGCAGACGATCTGTTTAACTTCCTGGGATTCCAGGGAGCGCTTACCGCCAGCCAGGTGCCTTCTTAGCATTCCACCCCGGGAGTTCTTTGCAGCTGGCCAGACCTGGGTTTGGACCCTTTGTGGACCGGTCACGAGTTCTCTGACTTGGCACAAGTAGCTCCACTTTTCTGAGCCTCTGTTGTAAAATGGAGATGGGATTGTCATCTCCTTTGTGGATCCTTGTCAGGGTCACATGAGATTGTATATATAATACACAATAGTGCCTGCATGTGCTCCATTCAGATGGACTATGATCATTAATAAAAGTGGCTGAAGCCGGGTGTGGAGGCACACACTTGTGGTCCTAGCAGTTTGGGAAGCTGAGGCAGGAGGATAGCAAGTTCAAAGCCAGCTTCAACAACTTAGTGAGGCCCTAGCAACTTAGTGGGACCCTGTCTGTAAATAAAAAAATAACAAGGACTGGGGGTGTAGCTCAGTGGTAAAGCACCCTGGGTTAAACTCCCAGTACCACAACCCCTATAAGTGGCTAAAGAGCTGGGGAGCTCAATCAAATGCACCCCCACAGAGATCTCCCTCACGTTGTAGTTACACTTTGACCAGTTTACTCTGCACTCCCCCACATTATGGGGGCACGCTCCCCTTCATAATCTCCACCCACCACTAGAATGGAGTCCCTAAGACAAGAAAGAGGAACATTTATTCATAAGAGAAATAGGGAATCTGGTTTTCTGAGCCAGATCTTCCAAAGGACACTTTGAAGAACTCAGCTGACAGCATTTTAGATCTCAGCTATCTAAGGGGGCAAATGCTCCGTCTCCTTGGTTGGGTTGCCAAGTTGAAATACAGGGTACTCAATTAAATTTGAATTTTAGATAAATAATAAGTAACTTTAAAATGTAAGTATGTCCCAAATATTGCAGGGGATGTACAAATACCAAACAACAACAACAAAAAGTCACTGTGTATCTGACATTCAGAATGTAATTGGGGGGTCCCGTTTTTATTCTAACTCTTCTAACTTTGATATCCCTACTGCTCACCAATCAAGACTATTGAAAGGTAGTGTGAGCAGGACCTCCCAGTTACTGAGAAATGGAAGTGGGATCTCTTTTATTTGGCCTGGCAGGTAGCAGGTTGGGTAAGTGATTGAGGGAACAGATAAGCTGACTAGGTTGCCAGGCAACAGGAATATCAATAAACATTGTTGATCATCAGTGGGAGGGGAGGGGTGGAAGGAGAGAGGAGAAAGTGGGAGAGTTCTGAGAAGGAGGCTTTGCAAATATCCTTGGCCTGTGAGCAGCTTCCTCCAATTGCCCAGATATCCATGGCCCTTTCAGGACCTTCCCAGTGTCCCCTGGTTTCTTCTGACAGGTCATAACTGGAGACCTAACTCTTTAAAAAAAAAAAAATTTTTTTCAGTAGTAGGTGAACATAATATCTTTATTTCATTTTTATGTGGTGCTGAGGATGGAACCCAGTGCCTCATACGTGCTAGGCGAGCACTGTACCACTGAGTCACAACCCTAGCCCCAAGACCCAAATCTTTGTCACAGTGTCTGCCCCCAACTCTGGAGAAGGTGGAGGTCCTGAATAACGAGGGGTCAAGGTTTTGGAGTGAATCATTCAGAGTCTTGGTGGAAAGTCACATGACCTGGGAGTTTCAACACAACTTGCAACCCTCCCAACCCCAGTGACCGCGCATCTAAGAGGGCTTTGTTCAAGTGAAACTCGCCAGTCCCAGTGAGTGATTTCAATTAGGCAATGTTTACCCAGGGAAACGACAAGTTGTATATGGGTTTCCATCCAAGTGCAGATCAAGGCTCTGGAAGCCAAAGGAAGTTAGGCTATTGAGAAACTTCCCATGTACCAATCATGGTCGAAATAAGGTTCTTTCCATGATCTTCCAGGGGTGGAGATGGAGCCTTTTTTGGTTTGGTTTTGTTTTTCCTTCTTTCTGCTCTTTGGCTTTGGAAAGTCCCAAGGATCCAGCACATCAATAAATGAAGATACAGCCCTGGCTCTGCCTCACACTCCTTTAAGGACCTGTTTCTCTCCTTTAAAAACAAAACAAAAAAAATCTGAGCTCCATCTTAATCCCAACTGCTTAAATCAACTCCAATAGCTCTTTTTAAAATCTGTCTTCTGACTCATACATACAGTCCCTGTTCACTGACCCAGGGGGCAGCTTTTTCATTCCAATTCTTCGGGACCTTGAGACCCCATGCATTTTTCTCTTGAAGTTTTCAAATGGCATTAACCAAGTAAAACTGGGTATTCTCGGCCAGAATATCCACAGATTTATTATTTTTCACTCAGAAAACTGCTTTCCCTGGGCTTGAGAGAAGGGTTTAGGAGTAGCCTGAGATTGATCTTATACATTATTTAGAACTAGTCTGCTGGGTTCTGGATCCAATCTTCCCTAAGCCCTTGTCTTTCTTGGGTGAATAACTCACATGTGAAGTCACTAGTTAAACCTTATGGCCAAAAGCTAAAAGTGGAGATATTAAATGTTAAACATTAGCAATTTAGAAAGCATAAGAGTTGGATTCTTTTTGCTGGAGAGAGAGAGAGAGAGAGAGAGAGAGAGAGAGAGAGAGAGAGAGAGAGAGAGATTCCCACAAAGGTTAGCTAAACAATTTGGGTAGAGATTCAATGACAGAACTTGACTAAGAAAGTCAAGTTATAATGCTATAATTTACCTGACATAGGTCAGAATTCCAAGCATAACTGCACACAATAGGAAACTGGATATAATGGGGAGAGACTGGAAATAAGGGCTGCCAAACTGGGACAGGGTTGGTGTGGAGATAGAGAATAGAGGGAAGGGGGTAGAAGATGGACCATGCTTCATGGTCAGGGTCAAAACCACAGGACAAGCAAAGCCTGAACCAAAGGTATAACAAGATTTATACATAGTTCACGCAAATAGTCAGAAATAGTCCCCAAACCGGGAATAATGAGTCAGAGGTTGGGGAACCCATAGCAATTGGCAATCAGAAATCCAGATCAGCCTCAGGAGGTACTGGGGATGTCTGTGGGCCATGTGTGTGCCCCAGTCCCACCAGGTTGGGGTGAAATTCTGAGGGGGAGAGTGGAAAGGATTAACTGGAGTGGCAGAGGGAATCTTCTAGGGAGGGAAAACCAGGATCAGCCTTGGAGGAATTAAACTTCAGGGCAGATTCCCAGGACCTCAGGCGCAGGTGATGAGGCAAAAACTAACACAGAAATAAGACCCAAGGTCGAGAGTTGGACTTAGTCCAGGACTTAGTCAATTGCATGCTGACTGACATCAAGAGGGTGGGGACCCAACTTCTCAAATCCTTCCCGCCTGGGATTAGGATTGACCCTGGAGGCTGGCATGGGCTAAACTAGGATGTGAAGTGAATGGAGGAGAGGGGAGAGGGGCTAGGGACTAGCAAAATCTGACAGTGAAATCTACATTCAGCCTTTATGATCTTGAAAAAGATAGATAAAAAGAAGGTGTTCTAACCATTTAATCATGAAAATAATTATGACAAATTAGAACATAAATAACAGGTTGAATTCAAACAAGATAAATTGGGGTTTCCCAATTGGCTTTGGATTTCTTAATACTTTCCATTTGAATTTTCAACATTCTTCCTCCTTTTCACATTAGGTAAAAAGAATAGAAAGAATAGAATATACAAGAATAGAAAAATAATTTTATCTCTAGGGTTTTCCAAGAGTGAAACATGCCAACCATTTATTATGTGGGGAATAAGACCCAAATAATCTAGACATAACCCTAGCAAAGACTTTATTAACTAATTGGTCTCTGCTGTTCCAATATTGGCTGCAAAGTTTGCATGATAATCTCCAAGTCCCAACAAGTCTTTCTTCATTAATCTATGTAATAATGGAATCTGCTTACACGTGGTTTCACAGGATTTCACAAGTGAGGAGGGAAAGAAGAGAGCACTTTTTTTTTTTTTTTTTTAGCTAGAAATGAAAATGAATTAATTTTCTTTAAGGAACTGACACTTAAACTACTTGGAGTTTAACCTGCTGATGTGGAAAGTGTTAAGGAAAGTTGTGATTATCCAGGGAGAAAATACTTTCAGTGTGAAATATGATGGTTTTGTCTCTTGATTCCCAGGGTAAATGGCTCCCTCCCCTACATTGGGAATGGTAAAGACAGAGGGAAAAGAAGCACATGGTTTATAATTTGCCCTTATGTGTAATGTGATTCCCCCAACAGGTCTGATAGGATTTTTCATTGCCTTCGGCATCGCCATGGGGAAGATGGGTGAGCAAGCCAAGCTGATGGTGGAGTTCTTCAACATTTTGAATGAGATTGTAATGAAGTTAGTGATCATGATCATGTGGTAAGTTGTGTGTTCTTTATCGTAGTGGGGAATGCCAAGGCCTAGGGGTCCCCAGAGGATACTGGACCCTCCCTGCAGGAAAGAGTGGGTATGCACTGTCAAGTGGCTTTCTAGAAAGACCTTGAGAAAAGATGGAAATATTTTCTTGAGCTTCCCCTAGAACAGGGGCCAATATATAGTGACGGTGGAGTCAAATCTGATATATCACTTATTTTGTAGGTCTCATAAGCTGAGGATAGGTTTAACTGTTTTAAGTGTCTGTCTTAGTTCAGGCTGCTGTAACAAAGTACTGAGTAGTTCATCCATGACAAAGATTTGTTGTGCAGAGTTCTGGAGGCTGGCATTCTGAGATCCGGGTGCCAGCATGGTTGGGTTCTGGTGAGGGCCCTCTTCTAGGTTGTAGATGACCAACTTCTCACTGGATCTTCACTTGGTGAAAAGAGAGTTAGAAACCCTCTTATATCCTTTATAAGGACATTCTTTCAGTTCATTCCAGCTGCTATAAAAAATGCCTTAGACTGGGTAAATTATGAAGAATAGAAATCGACTGCTCATAGTTCTATAGATTAGGAAGCCCAAAATTAAGGCATTAACAGCCTTGGTGTCTGGTGAGAGCCTTTTCCTCATAGACGATTCCTTCTATATGTAGAAGGGGCAAGCAGGCCTCCTCAAGCCTTTTTGATAAGGACACTAACCCCCTTCTTGAGGACTCTCCTCCTGAATGGCCCACTTGCCAACACTCTGCATGAGAAATTAAGTTTCAATGTATGAATTTTGGGGGGAAACACAAACATTCAAAATGTAGCAGGCACTAACCCCACTTAGTAGAGCTTCACTATCATAATCTAATCACATCCAAACAACCCCCACCGCCTAATATCATCACATTGGCAGCTACAATTTCAACACATGAATGGAGAGGGGCACAAATGTTCAGCTGATTGCAATGCTTAAAAAGCAAAGAAAATCAAAAGAATGGTGTTCCATGACACATGAAAATTATGTGGAATTCACATTCAGTGTCCATAAACAAAGTTTTATTGGAACACAGCCATGCCCATTTGTTTTTACACATTTCCTGTGGCTGCTTGCTTATTATAACAGCAGAGTTTAATAGTTGCCACTGTGACTGTAGATTTCCCCCAAACTAAAGTATATACTGCCTGGCTCGTCACATAAAAAGTCTGCTGATCCCTACACTGGAAGAAAAAGGAACAAGACTGAAAAACCACAACCAGTAATACTACAGATGAACCGTATCAGAGATGTAAGACCAACCCAAGATACCAGAGACAAGGCCTGATCCAAGGATTGTGGAGATTCTGATCCAATATTCTAAACTCCAAAAGTAATGTCTTCCACCCGGGTCACTCGTGATTCGTACAGAAGAGGAAAGAGGCAGTTGTCAGCCATGTGGGCAACAGTGAGGTTGCAGAGGTTGTGCTAAAACCGGACGTGCTCTTAGAAATCTGGTCCCACCCACTGGTTTCCCAACTCTGCTGAGTGTTTACTGAGCAATACTACATAAAGCAGAATAGGCCTCTCACCTACATATTAGAATCTGCTCTTGTTCCCTAGAATTCACAGCACAAGGTACATCCTTGTTCTAAAGACACAGTTTATATTTCTGAATATGATGCCAACCATGTGGATAATGTATAAAAATTGTGTTCATCTATACCAACATCATTTCTACTGAACCCTTGCAGAAAATAGAATCTTCTAGGCAATCTGATGAGTCAGGGGGATAGAGCATAGTCTCCCTTCTCCTCATGGGTGAAGGGTGGTGTGGATTAAGAAGAAGTTTCCCATTCATTGAAACCAAAACTCTTGTAGATTTAACCTCGTTCTCTGGGAGATGAAGGGCCATTGTGAGGCATGATTCCTGACAGCTGTCTGGTTGCCTCATCTAGGTAGTCAGGAGGGTGTTCTACATATGAGGGCCAATTCTACACATTCTATTCATTCTTTAGCCACCTCATCAGCATCATCATTTGATAATGACGTAGTTGTGAGAAGGCTCTGGGAAAACAGCCAACTACCCTTTAACTGACCCCTCAAGTTAAAATCATCAGAGTTCTTTTGTATTCTTCTCTATGTAATAGTAAAAGTTTGAAATAGTAGCAAAACATAGCATTGAAAAACTAATAATAGTAATTATTAACTTTTAACAGTTGTTAAATTCTTGCTATTTGTTAATTATTATTGTGATTACTGTATATGTATTAACCCATCTATTATTGAGGAAATTATAGTTATTATTGTTAAATCACAGTTAAGATTTACCAAATTCCTGCTATATGCTTGATATAGTTCTATTTATTTTACATGCCTTAACTCACTCATTCCTCACAATAGTAACTAGATACTTAATAGATACATAAATAGATACTTCTTTTAGCCCATTTTCCAGGTGAGAAAACTAAGCACCAAGGTTGACTTTCCCAAGTTCTTTGGAGCTATATGAGCTACCTAACTCAATTTCTTTCTGTCTTCAGATCAGATTGAATCTGAGATCCTCCTGTTACAGGCTGTGTGAACTTAGGCAGGTTAGACACATTCTAAAACCCAGTATCTTCACTGTAAAATGAGATGATTGTAGAATTCGTGTCATTGGGTTGCTACGAGAATTAGATGAGACTGTGAAACAGTCCTGGAACATTTCCTGTGTGTCAGGAACTATCTGAGTGCTTTGCACAAATTAGTATCAAAATGGTAATTTTGAGATTAGCGTCATTATCATCAATTTGAGCCGTGTCTTGCGTATTTCTGTGTTCAGGAATTCTCTACAAAGCCTGAAACACCCTTCATTTTGGTGTGATTTTTTTCATATCCTCTTTTTTTCTTTTTTGGAAAATCTGAAAAACTTAAGTAGAAGGTAAAACTCTCATAATCTTCTACTCTGAAAACAAAAAGGAGTAAGTAAAATCTCTATGCACCCTTCTAATTCTTTCTCCCACTTAACCACTGCCTTCCACCAACCGTCCACACTGTTAAAACGAAACTTCTTAGTGATACTTGTTAAGAAAATGAGGAAGGCATTATTCAGGACCATCTTGAGGTCTGGGGACCGTGGCAATGGATGATGCTGTGGGGGAGAGAGAATAGGCTCCACCTCTAGTACAGCTGGGCAAGTGGGGAATTGGGAGCCAAGGAGCAGGCTGGAGGTCAGTGGAGGGAAAATTTCTAAGTGGTCATCAGGAGTGAGAGATTGTGGCTAAACTGACTTAATGGGATTCTGGCTACAGACAGGTCAGGGTGAAGACATCAGCTGGGAGATGGAGGATGAGGAACCTGATCAGATATGCACAGTGATGAGAAGTGAGGATGGGATTCCTGCTAAGTGACTCAGAAGGGCTCTTTCAGGAAGTACAGGGGTGGACCTAGAAGGTGGAGGAGCCCCACTAAGTTTAGTCAGCCCGTCTATTCTCTCATTCAGTACATATCTCTTCTGTCTATCATGGCGAATAAGACAGAGGAAATTCTCTGCCCTCATGAAGCTTACGTTCTAGGGAAAGGAGAGAAGAGAGAACAAACGGAAACACATAATTCAAATAGTAATAAGTTCTACCAAGACAATAAAGCAGGGATGTGGGATAGAGTGATATGGGGGTGAGGGTGAGGGGCCAGGCAGGGCTCTCCTGAGGGGAAGGCAACGCCATGAAGACCTGAAGAGTGGGAGGGTTTTGAAAATCAGGACAAAGGTCTCCAGTGGCCAGAGTGTGGTCAGTTGGTGAGACAGGGATAGAAGGCAAGGGAGGTGGACAGGCAGATAGATAGTAGGCAGAACAGGAAGACCCTGCAGGCCAGCTGATGGACTGGGGTCTATTTACTTGTGAAACTAAATCCATGGGGTTCCCCCCACCCTTTTTTTTTGGAGGGGTGGGGAGGTGGGCAACAACCCTGGAGTCTATATGAACTGAATTTTACTCTTTCCAGATAAAAGTTCTAATCTACATGTGGTCTCTCTCAACAAAAATTCCTCTTGGGTAACTGAAATAACTATCCCTACCTGGGAAAAAATTGAGGTTTGGAGCTTTTCTGAGCCTGAGTCCAGACAGCACTTTGAATCAACTCTTGGGATGTGGGGTTACCTCTTTATTGATGGTCTCTTTTAATTCTGAATTCTCTTGAGATCCATCCCAAACTGTCACATGGGGGTTGCTACTGGAAACTATGGGACAGAACCAGAGGGAGTTTAGAGCAGGACTGAGAAAGTCCCTTGGCTTACCTCCATTCCCAGAGACTATCCTACCATCTGTCCCAAGCTTGAAAGTCCCAAATTTATCATTTTAGTGGGTTGGACGTCAAAGGTCTTGAGTAAATTGGAGCTAAGGTAAATGGTCTCCAAAGGCTAACCAAGTTCTATTTGCAGTTCCTCATTGGCCGATGAGATGTCTGTTCCTTGAAACAGTGGTTTCCAAACACATCAGGCCAGCTTTAGGTGGTGAGTTTTGGGAACACACACTGTTAAGACAGCCGGGCAGTGGTGACGCAGGTGGCCCATGAGTGCAGACACTGGTAGGTTGAGTGCTGGGGATGAGTTTGTGGAGTGGAGACCACGGGAAGGGGTATCTTTCTGGGCAAGTGGGGAATTGGGAGAACTGAGGTTCTTAGTGGGTAGAGGCTGGAGTGGATGTCATAGCAGTAAGAACAAGACTCAGGCCAGCTCTTGATGATTAGTGGCCTTGACACAATGAACAGAACTGAGAATATCACCAGCTGAGGGTGGCATGGGAGTGAATTCACACCTGCAGCTCAGGGCTCATGTCCTTCTAACTTAGAAACAGGCCCAAGAATGACTGGACATCACTTTTTACTTTTCTACAGAACTCTCAGTTGGTCATGTAGCCTCTTGACTTTGTTGGTTTGTGACTTTCTTGGCTTCGTCTCAGAAACTTTGAGTGGTGACTGACTTTAGACCCTGGGCGTAGACCCTATCTTTTCCATGGAATGTCATTTTCAATGAGATGATTCGTTGATCTGGAAGCCAGGAACTCAGAATCTCAGCTTCTGAGTGAAGACTTGGTACTTGTTTTAAAAACAGTTGCAGGGAAGTAACAGCCCCTAACCTTAACCCAGAACAAAGGCTCTTTTCTTGTCCTAATCAATGCTCATACGAGTCCTGGACACAAGGTGTTTGGTAAACAAGGGCTCCTGCATTCCATGTTTATTGACCAGAACACTTCACCTTCTGTCCCTTGACTAACACTCTCCATTTACACTGGGAGGTCCTGCTTTCCCCGTGAGCAGAGGGCTCCAGAGGTAAACTCCTGCCTCTCTCTAGTCCATTTGGCTCTGGCTCAAATGAGCTCTCCAGGGCACTCCAATAGCTGGTCTTCCTTGGCAAAGAGCCTTGAAAACATTTTCTCTCCATTCTACAAACTGCTTGACCCAGATTGGGAGAGGGAGGGGGAATGGAACGGTACCCCAAACAGCTCATGTCTGTGTTTTTTTTCTGGACTTTGTTAAAGGGTGATTGGTGCTTGGGAAAGAATTGATCTCTTGGTTTATGAAGATAAACACATTCTGGCTTTATAAGAAGGTGCGTTTCTGCTTAGTTATTTACAATGAGACTACCCTGCTGACTTATGAGTTGTTGTGACCATGGATACAGCAGGAGAATGTAAGACAGCGGGAAAGACAACGCATCAATGTCGTGACAGAGGTTTCAGCCTTTCTAATGTTTAGGAAAGTAGGCCTCAATCATGGCCAGACTGTGCCCCAGGAAAAGGATCATAAGGGCCAGGCTGGATGGTCTTCAGGAAAGAGAGGGGCTATGCTCCTGTTCTATCTCATTACTGTCAGTTACTATCCTGGCTCACCCAGGATAAACTTCCTCTTGAGATAATATTTTGCTCATAAAAGCATCTGCCATTGGGTGGCCTGCGAGATGTCTTAGGAAGCCTCGTTAATTCTGAGTTGACTCATTAAGCATTGACGATGAGGGGACACTGGGTATACGTGTGACCCCAGAGCCTCTGAGGGATTCCTGTGTCAGGAGTCAGAGAACTAACGGTCCTGGCAGGCACGGAGGAGGAGATTGAGTTTCAGCCATGCGTTCGTATGCGTGTTCAAAAGTTTCAAACTCACATCACCAGGTGAGGTTGGAGTCAGTCTCCGTACACCTGGACAGCCGTGTCTGTAAAATGGGAACCAAGGTCACATAGTGGTGACGCAGGTGGCCCATGAGTGCAAGGTCACATAGCTGACAGGTGGCTGGACCAGCCTTGTGTCTTCTGCTGTTGCCTGTGTGACTCGCACCTGCTCTTCTGTAACCCAGGGAAGGACTTGGTCCAGGTGCAACTGAAAAACACAAGTTCCTTGAGGCAAGTGCTTTCTTTCCAGACTCCCTGCCCCTGCGGGGAGCCTTATGTGGGGGCTCCATCCACCACATGGTCTTTCTCACAAATATGTTTATCATTTTAAATAACATATCAACCTTCCTACAAATATGTTCATTTCAGCCAGAAACTATCACAGGCCGAACAAATTCATGTCCCAGCAACACCACATGGGATAAAAGAGAAGAAGAAGGAAAAACAGGATGTTGCCAACACACAGAGAATAAGCTCAAGATGAGAGAGAAAACGGTTGGCTTTCCCAAGGGTGGGAACCAAATCAGTTCCCAAGCTCTCCATAAAACAACGATAAGCTAGGGATAGACGATAAGCTTATAGGGCAGATGGGGATGCGGTGGGTTGTCTGCTTATCTTCTAATAACTGGGATTCCTCACTAAAGGGAAGTCACTTGGCTTGAGAGAGGAAAACCCCTGGGTCGTGGAGATCCACAGACCTGAGTTGTTCTTTTACTTCCTGGTCTTGTGGCTCTTAGGCTGCTTATTGAACTTCCCCAAACTACAGTTTCTTCACTTGCCATATGAGAATAACAATGTCTAGATTTTAGTGTTGTGGTGAGAATTAAATGAGGCTCTAAGCCGGGTGCGGTGGTGCATGCCTGTAGTCCCAGCAGCTAGAGAGGCTAAGGCAGGAGGACAGAGAGTTCAAAGCCAGCCTCAGCAAAAGTGAAGCCCTAAGCAACTCAGTGAGACCCTGTCTCTAAATAAAATATAAAATGGGGATAAGGCTGTGGCTCAGCGGTTGAGTTCCCTGGTCAATCCCCAGTAAAAATAGATAAACAAACAAACAAATAAATAAATAAAGGAGGCTGAGTGTCCCTTTCTCACCAGGATGCTTGAAAACACAACGAACAGTGGTCAGCTTTATTGTTAAGGAAGAAGTAGTTTCAGGCTTAGAAGTAGTAAAACCACACTTCTCTAAATGCACACTTTGGTTTCAGGTGGTTTTCTTATTTTGGTAGTGTTTCTCTCTCTCTCTCTCTCTCTCTCTCTCTCTCTCTCTCTGTTTGAATATATATATATATATATATTCCCTGCCTTCCAAACAAAGCAATGCAAATTTACAAACCCCAGTTTATAAATTTCTGAAAAGCTCTAAAAGTTATCCCCAATGTCTAAGAAGGAGCTGCAGGGCACAAAAATCCAACAAGTCAGTTTCCCAGAGATAGAACCCTCACCTCTCACTTTTTCACTTGGCGACTCAAGAAAGACGGTTGAGGTGAAAGGTGATAAGGCGAGTCCCTCTTATTCCCCAAACACACCTCAGCAGCACAGTGTGCCTTTGGACTCTTCGTCAGAGCAGGCGTCACTAGGTGCATAAACCAGACTTCAGTTAAAGCCGTTAATCCAGAGGAAAAACAACATCCATTGAATCTCATGACCCCTTTTCTGAGCAGAACTCTTTTTGTGCGGAAAATGAACGGTTTCCCTGAGGGTGAAGCACATAGGAGGGCCCAGATTTGAGTTCTGAATCCCCTAATGATCTCTTCGATGCTCTTTCTTTCCTGTGTGTTTTTCAGGTACTCTCCCCTGGGTATCGCCTGCCTAATCTGTGGGAAGATCATTGCCATCAAGGACTTAGAAGTGGTTGCTAGGCAACTGGGGATGTACATGGTCACCGTGATCGTGGGCCTCATCATCCACGGGGGCATCTTTCTCCCTTTGATTTACTTTCTGGTGACCAGGAAAAACCCGTTCTCCTTTTTTGCTGGCATTTTTCAAGCTTGGATCACTGCCCTGGGCACTGCTTCCAGGTAGAGAATATGAGAAATCACCTTTCTTTCTGTTTCGTCCTTTGCCCCATTGGCCACTTCCCGTTTCTCAAAATCCTCCGGTTGCAAAGTTCAATGAGAACACTTTTCACAAATTATTAAAATCCTTTAGGAAAGGTGAACACTTCAAACTTTTGGCCTTTTTCTAGGAACCTCCAAGCCTTCTGATGAACATTTTTGTTGCTGGGCAACTGAATTGGAAACATGATATTATATTATATTTTTAAACGAATGCACACTATCAATTTGCATGCCTAACTTGCTACATAAATCATTGATTCAGTTTGGTTTTATGTCTTTTCCAGAAGGGTGTTACAGGATGTTGTTCAATAACATCCCACCTATGATTTGGAAAAATGATATAAAAAAGTTTCACTCTTGAGATTTGGGGAAACAATTTTTCAAAAGGAGGAGGGCTTTTACAGGGTGAATGGTACATTAAGTGAGATTTTTCCAACAAAATGAGCCAAGCCTCAAAGCCAAGCCTTTGCCCTCAACATGAACCTTTAATGGGCCATTCCGCCCCAGCTTAATTTTTTTTTTCTCAAAATCAAATTGACTTGACTTGACCTTGACATAGAGTCAGATCCTCCATGACCTCATGCCAGTGCCTAGGGAGCCAAGGAGCATCGCAAATATCTGCAAGGAAAATAATTTTTTAAAATATAATCTTGGAGCCCAATTAGCAAAAGCAACACATAATTAAAAAAATAAAGAAATAGGAATACATAAGAAATGCCTGGTTATTTAGAATTTCAAAGACTAAAAGAGTTTTATTACTTCAGGATTCTATAGTTGTTTTATTTTTGCCTCTGTGTCCGTAGGTCACAAAATTAAGTCTGAGATCATGAAACAGATGGCAGTGAGGGCCAGCAAACTCTGAATCCCACAGCTTGAAGCCAGATCCTGGTTGCTAAGCCCACACACCGCTGGTGAGGTGGCACCTCTGTGACACAGGTGTGGCCAAGCTAACCTAAGGCTACTGAGCAGGCCGTCAGTTTTTCCTGAAGTGACCTACCAGGCCCAAAGTGGTAACCACCTGGGAAGCCAAATTATATTTCCATCTTGAAAATCAATGAGAATTTGGCATTAACAGAACACAGGCTTTCATAAAAAGCTAAAATATATACATACCATCCTGGGGACCCAGATTCAGCATCCTATTTCCTAAGATGAAGGGAAACACTTTAAAATTTGCTTTTTCCTACTTGGTCCTATAAATTATCTGTGACTAAGTATCTCTATCTATAAAGACCCTCTCCCTTTAGAGGAAAAGTAAATCTTTTTTTTTCAAAACTATAAACAACCTTACTCGATTTTATTTTTGATTACTAATTATGAGTGTGGTATTTGCTCATAGTGATAAAGTTCAGATAGTGAATAAAATTTTGAATAACATAATGAACATGACAAGTTAGTTATTTTATCCCCAAGTGATGATTGCTAATAACTTTTTCGTTAATCTTTATAGTTACATATATCTGTCCAGGCTTACTATGTATATGTATTGATTTGGAAACTGCTATTTTTCACTGATCAACATATAATAAAAAATGATGTTCATTCATAGATTTTTTTTACTACTATTTTGTAAAGTACTATATGTACTATGGTACAAACTCCATCCCTTTCCACCCCCAGTAATATACATTTAAAGCCTGTCTATTAAAGGGGGCTGTGACAAGAATCCTTATAGGTATATCTCTGCAAGTTTGTCTAATGATCTGCGGAGGACATACGTCTAGAAGTGAAACTCCTGAGTCAAATGGTGTACATATTGACAGTTTTGAAACATATCACCCAATTGCAATTCAGAAGAGTACACTATTTTATGTTTGCACTAACTAGAGTGAGCCCTTCCCTTCCTACATGCCAGGAAGGCCAGATATTCTGAATAAGTGTCAGTCACTTTAACACATTCCATTCTCATTGGTGAAAAGCTATCTCATTGAATCTGTATATCTTGGAGTACTAACAAGGGGAAACATCTTTTCCTGTGTTTATTGATCCTTCTCCCCTCCCTGCCCACCCTGCACTACTCTCCCCACCTTTTGAATTGTATGTGAACCAGCTCGTTTTTTGTTTCGTTTTGTTTTGTTTTTTAAATCCTCTTCTGCTCTGTTTTCAAGCTTTTTTTGTGTGTCCTGTGCCACATGTTGCAATGATGCCCCTCCCACTTGACTTGGCCAAAAAAATTCACAGTGCTCTTTTGCCACCAAAAGTTTTAAATTTGTCCCTTGTCAAAACTGTAAACATTTCCCTTACTATAAGGAATTTCAGTTTTGCTCAAGCATATGTTTCTATTCACAATTTCAAAATATTGCTTTATGTTTTCTTCTAGTACCCTTATGATTTTTATCTTTAAATGGTTTCAAAAATATACATATTTTTTTCTTTTGAATGAGCAGACCATTATTCCAGTGCTTTTTAGGATGAGATAAGTCAAGGCATATCCTCGTATTTAAATCAAAGATAAATGCTTGGACCAAGACTGCAAATATTAGAATTATTTCTCCCTTTACCCCTGCATTTCATTTGAACAAAACATATGGTTTTAATCTTCCCCTAAAAACATAATTTTTGCCTGGATGTTGAGTTTCCTTTTTGAAAAAGGCAATGTGGCAGGAATCATATACCAAAAATTAATTGAGAATTTCTTTGTCATAATGGACACAAGGGAGATTAAAAAAAAAAATCTCAGGGACAGTCTGTTAAATACACTTTCTGCTTCTTTGGACCTTATTCTGAATGAGGTCATTGAAAGTGGTTGATTTGCTCTTCTGGATGGGTACAGAGTCTGGTGACAAGGAAGACAGATGGAGGGGTGTGGCCCAGATCAGACCTCTGTGCATCCCTGGGACTTCAGTGTATGCCATTAAAACTCATCTGGAAAGCAGGAAGACTCTCCAGAATCTGACATTATTATTAGCAACATTTGAAGACAGTCCTATGGCCTTTGAGGCAGGAGCCAAAAAGCAGTGCCAGAATGCCAGCCTGTCGACACAGGAAAGCATTGACATTCTCAAGTTCTGGTTTGGATTGATTGGGTCTTTGCGGATTTTCAAGACACAAATATAAAGTCTGTCCAGTGGAGAAATAGAGAATATTTTCATGCCTTACCAATATTTTTTCCATTTTTTTTAATTGTCTAAAGACCCTTTGATGACATTTTGGGAAAATGAATAATAAATATTATGCAATAATAAAAATTAATATATTCCAGTGATCCAGAAGTTTGCTTAGGGCCATGTGATAGAGGATCCAGCTGCCAGCCATGACTGAGCAGCCCTTTTAGACCAGCTATGGTGTCCTGGCAACCCTTTGAAACAGTCCCAGGAAATGATGGGGGTAAAGGGTGAGAGAGATAAAGAGACACTAATTTCTCATTAAAACATCTGGGCAGCAAGCCAGGTACAATGGCATCTTATGCATGCAAAAAAACAGCAAAACAATGTTTCTACTGGGCTTATAATGTTTTAGTAATGGGATAACCCCAGATATACATTTCTTTTTCTTATGATGAGGCATTATATAGACCTCTGACTTATAATCACAAAGGATGTTCTGGCAAGATGATTCTGAGCCCCCTAAGGTTATTATTATTAGCTTGTAAGTCTGTTTAAGATGCATATCAGACCTGTAATCCCAGCGGTTTGGGAGGCTGAGGCAGGATGATCGTAAGTTCAAGGCCAGCCTCAGTAACTAAGCAAGGCCTTAATCAATTTAGCAAGACCCTGTCTCAAAATTAAGAAAGAAAGAAAGAAAGAAAGAAAGAAAGAGGGCTAGGAATGTGACTTGGTGGTTAAACAGCCCTAGATTCAATCTCTAGTACCAAAAAAAAAAAAAAGTGCAGATTTGGATGTCTCTAATTTTAGAGCTTCTGGGTTCCCTGGTCCTGAACAGTACCTGGGATCTGCACTTCACTTAGATGTTGGTCTTCTCTCACTCTGAGAAACCTGGATTTTTGTTATCTGTCTCTAGCCTATTTGGAGCCCCAATTCTGACTTGTAGAAAGTAGTGATTATGACTGAGGCTCTAAGTGCAAGAGAGTAGACATTTCCAAATGCTCTCTGCATTCAGGGTTTTCCAATGCACTGTGCTAAGATTTGAATAGGAAACAATTCAAAAGAGAATGAGCCACGAAGCACACTCATGCCATTTGAGTGTTCTACATTGCTTTCCATATTACTTAAACTTTGACGCAAATCTGCCCAACCACCTATGCACTTTTCCACAAGGAAATCATATTCTGGCCTTCAGCAGCCTTTGTTCTAAGAAGTCTCTATTTTAGAAGCTATATGGAGATGCCAGGATTCTAGGCTTTGACGCTGGGTCATATGGTTTAATCTCCAACCCACACCTGGGAGGAGTGTGAGTGAAGTCACTCCATATTGTCTTTGATTAGCTACAGATCATATGCCTTACTGCCCCAAGTCATTGTAGAGATTTAGAGTTGGCTGATGGCCATATATCAGGGAGTTGGACTCTATGTGAGGTTCCCCCAGCTTGAAGCTTGGGTTCATGCTGAAGAGTAACTTGACATTTTTGTCCTGCATTCTCTAAATTAGCAGGCCAAGCTCAGGGCAATTCCCAGGGGCTGGATGCAATTCATGTAGTCATTTTGTTGGAAACAGTCTTTCTAGCATGAAATTATGGGTCATTCAAAAATTCCTCAGTCCATTTTACTGTTGACAGCTGATTCTTTCTCAGCCTTTTTTTTTTTTTTTTTGCAGCCCAATTCGTGTAGGCAATCAGATGTGCTTCAGTATTTAATCCAAGATGGAAATAGTGACCAAAAGAAAAAGAGAACTTGAAGCTCTGAGTAGACCTCAAAACCAAAACCAACAAAAATATTTTTCTGCCTATTAGCATCTTAATAAGATTGAAGTTGAGCCTCTAACTCACTGGTTTTTAATTTGGCTCCAGAAACTGCTTTTCTGCATGTCACATTGCCTGATGAGAACAAAAGAACAAAAAATTTGCAGTGTCATTCCATTTGTTCTTTGTCCTAATTCTCCAAAGCAGACATAACCCTCTTTCTCTCTGTTTCTTTCTGTCCCCCAGTGCTGGAACTTTGCCTGTTACCTTCCGTTGCCTAGAAGAAAATCTAGGGATCGATAAGCGCGTGACCAGATTTGTCCTCCCAGTTGGAGCAACCATTAACATGGATGGTACAGCCCTTTATGAAGCGGTGGCTGCCATCTTTATTGCCCAAATGAATGGTGTCATTTTGGATGGAGGCCAGATTGTGACTGTGAGGTGAGAAAGTGGATGGGGGCAGGGCGAAGGGGGATGAGGACAGCAGAGTGACAACCTTCTACCCTGTTGCATCTCCACACTAACTCCATTTGACAGAAGCTACTTGAATTTCAGTTTTCCTAGTGGATGAAGGAAATAACAGAGGAGGAATTGTTGGCCACCTTCAAGGGGAAAGGTTGTGACAGAAAAGCAGCAGACTCATATGAATCCCTTCTGTTTGTATTACACATATTGACTCTATCCAGCAATTGAATATTATTTGATTATTGACAATCTTGTGGTACAGGCAGGACAATTATTTCTATGCCTATTTAATAAATAAGGAAACTCAGGCTACAGGAAGCATGGATATTTGTCCGAGGTTACACCACTAGTCAGTCCTGAGTCGGCAAGGCTTTAACTGGGGCTGACATCGGCTGATTCTGGATCTAATTTTTCTTTCATTAAATATTCTTCCTTTAGTATTCCAGGCAGTGATGGCAGAAATTATGAAATGCTGGAAGAAACGATTCCTCAATATGACATATAACATTTTATTACAAATAAAGAGCACATATTTTTGTTTTTACTAAAGCTATTTAAAAAAATTCAGAACACTCGCAAGAGGTCATTAAAAATGCATTGCTTCTCTACAAACTTAAAGATCACATTTACTAGCCAGGCCAACTTTTTAGCTTCTTGCTTAGATGTTATTTAAAACATCAGTCTTCAAATGGTTCCTTGTATAGACATTATAGCATGAAATAAAACTCTTTGCAATCATCATTTTAAGATTATCATTCCCAGTCCAACTAAGAGTTCAGATAAGTTAGAAGACAATTTTTGGCTTTGATTAAAGTCAAACTAAACAAGACAAAAATAATGAGCTGGCTACTGGTCTTATTCATGTCCTGTTTCTACTCCTAGATTCTCCTTATCTGCAAATAAGGAAGATATTCAGAATTAGGGACTGTAAATTGGTAGTTCATGGGCTGAAGCCCGCTCAGAGTCTCACTTTGTCTGCCCTACAGTATGTTGTAAAAAGTTAGAATTTTACTGTCTTGTAAGATGGGTTCTTTCCAGTTCTCAACAGCCTCCCCTGCTCCCTGTTATTTGTACCTGGTCCTTGTCACCTACACCACTGTTTGGCTCTTTAAGACAGTTGAGTTTGTGACCTTTGGATTCTATGATTTACGTTTTCTTTCCTCCTCTGAGATTCCACGAGATCAGTAAATGCAGGGGACAGGAGGATCAGTTCTGTGCAACAAATGCACTTAGAGAAGGAAAATTTCAAAACCTGTGACATCCAAGTCCCAGGCCCAGTCTGAGAAAAACAATTAAGTAGATACTGAAACATACTTTTAGTCCCTAAAATGAGAGTAACTCCACTCTTTTGGAACTTCTGAGGTGGCAGTCTCTTTACATATGTCACCTTGAATGTTTCCAATAATCCTGGAGAGAAGCATAGTCACCATCTCCATTTTTCAGAATAGTGAAGTGAGGCTCAGAGTATTTATATGACAAACCTAAGTCTCTATGGGTGCCAGAGGCAGGAGGCAAATCAACTCCATGGCCAACTTTTTTCTGACTCATCATCCCTGCTTTCTGACTTTGACACAAAGGAAAATGCTAGAATCATTATTTGTTGCTTCCCCCTCCACTGGATGGTCAGAAGAGGCAGAGGCCTTTTGTTAAGATTAAGCTTTTTCCAAACCCTAGATAACACTGTCAACCTTTACTTCAGAAATGCTGGTGATAATCAGGTGTCTGGTTGGCCCACTATTTATTTGACAGATCATTCTCTGGGAGACCTTTAGTGGCCTATGGGTCACTTCAGGAGACTTCTCCTAAGAGATGGGGGCCATTCATGTCTGATTTCTCTACAGGCTGTGCTTCTTGAACACTCCAAACGCAAGGGCTGACCAATGTCTACAGTAATACTGGAATTTGTGTGTTCTGCTGGCTAATATTGCAATGGAACCATGTGTCAGAACTTGGCTTGATCTCTCCAGCTCTGAGGTGTTTAAGAAGCCCAGGGACATTTTTATTGGCTCACCCATTTCTCATCTCCCCTTATGACTATTCCAAAAGATTTGTTAAATATCCCATATGCATCTGAGCTCAGTTTGGCAATGAAATCAGAAAACAGAGAAGAGGAAAACTTACATGTGCAACACACAATATGAAAACATAAATAAAAATCAGATTTATTTTCTCAGCAAGAATGCAACAGCTGAAAAGTTTCCTAGAAGCTGTCTTATCAAATGCCTTTCATCTAGTAGATAAGGAAAGGGAGGCTCAGAGAATAGGTCACACAAAACCAGATAGAGGAATCTTCAAATGCAGGTTTCCCTGAATTATGTGGGCCTCCATTTATTGAGAATGTTAACTTGTGTTTGTAGAAATAGACCTGGAAAATAGGTGTTGGGTTTTATATTTTGCAGATGGAGAAAATGAAGTGCAGGAAAGTGAAATAACTTGTCTAATGGAAGTGGTAAAAATGGGATTTGAATCCAGGTCATCCACCTCTGGGGTCTGGCCTTTAACCACCGCACACAGTACCCACACTATTCTAAACTGTTGGTTTGCATATGTTAATTTATCTAATCCTTACAACCACTTCATGATGTATGCCCTATAGAGGGACCTCAGTTTCCTCATCTCTGCAATGAGGACGACAATCACACACTCCAGGGTGTTTGAGAGCATTGTACTGGTGTATAGTATAGTCAGCCGTCAATACACATGAGCTGTTAGAATTGTTACTATTAAAATACAACAGGACTCCTGTAATATTTAAAAAAAAATGTGGCAGTGACATAGTGAGTGCTATGAGTTTTCTCACGATGGAAACTTTGCTTCAGGTCAGATTCTGAAGCCTTCTACATCATGTCCTAACAGAGAGCATGTGAGACTGCCAACTCCCTTACTTTAAAACTCCAAGGGCTTAAACCCTTTACCAAGTAAAAATGGTTTCTGGTCCCTTGATTCCTGGTCTTGACGCAACCCTGGCTCCCCATCAAGTTCATTCTGTCAGGAATTAAGAGATGGGAGAATGAATCAGTGACTAAGTGACTCGATTGTGCTGGAAGGTTTCAATTTTATCTATGTAGCGTTTATATTAATAATGATAGTGCTGAGAATTTTCACTCAGGAAAGGATAAGGTTGGCCGTGTATATTCAAATATCTGGTCTCTGGCAAGTGCTGCCAAATCTACCTTAATGGTAGATACCACAAGGGCTGCCTCTGTGGGACCTGTATAAAGTGTGTGCAGTTCACTGCTGGAAATTTATTTGGAGAAAAATAACCAAGTCCAGCTTTATGCTGTTACCAAGTAAATCCTTCATGCTTTCCTTCCAAGGATCCCAGCATATTCATTAGGTCATAGAACTTCCAGGATGGGGGTGGGAATCAGAGACATTAAGAGCCAGCAGGGATTTGGAATCAAGCTGACGAATGTTCAAATCCCAGCAGATCATGTTCCAGCTGTGTTACCCTGACTTTCTCCGTCTAGCTAGTCCACTGTTTCCTCATGATGAAGCCAAGTATTACCACACATGTATCTTGCAAGATGACTGGGAGGTTCTGCTTTATGTTGTGTATATGGCACCCAGCACAGTCTCCAGAACTGGCCATAAAGAAGTGAGTGGAAGGCCCAGCAAAGCAGAAAGGGTAGAGGGGCAGTATTGCCTAAGGAGACTTTGCAGCTGTTGCTTGGAATTACACAGACGCTGTGCCCATGGGAAGATGAAGGTATCACTGGGGCGAAGGAACTGACTCCCAGGAAGAACTTTCTTTATAGGATTTGTCTCACACAACCAAAAATAAGCCAGATAAAATGGCTACAGTGCAAAGGATGTGTAGAGTGATTCATAACAGAAGAAACTGATGCTGTAAATAAAATTCAGAGGCCAAGATCACTGGAACTTGGAAACATTCCCTTCCCTGCTATTCTGTGTTTCTTGGGGGAAATGGTTGAGAATTCCCACCTTCCAGCTCTGGGGCTTTTGGGAAGTTTCCATTGCAAAGCAGTCTTGCCCTTCCCCTGATAAAAATGACAATTCAGTTTTCCCAAGGAGGTACAGTGTGACTGGCCTTTTCAAAATGCATCTATCCTCATTAGTTCCTGAAAGCTTCTGGCTATCCTGTGCATGAGATACCATTATTACCTCAATTTTTAAGATGAGAAAATCAAGGCACAAAGAAGTTAGGGTACCCAGAGTCATGGGGTTAATAAGAGGGTTGGGATTTGAACCTGGGTTGTTGAAGTGCAGAACTTTGAGACTCGGTACACACTGTGTCTGCTGATGCAGATGAGTTCAAAGAAGATGTAGTTTTCTAAACCCAGATACCAGATTCATATTAATGAAAGGGGAGGGGCAGAGCACAGAAGGGAACAGATGCCCAAGACAGGTATCTGCACTGACTGCGAGGGATGGCATCATGAAAAACTCAGCTCAACTCACGAAATCTCCAGGGGCCTTCATTTCCTTCAGGGTAGGATTAGGTTAATCCCTGTCCCTTCCCGCTCCCTGTAAAATCCCAGGGTTCTGTTCTCAAAGATGACCTAGGCTGGCTCTCATTCTGGAGGACAAGTGTCTACTCCGAAATTTTATAACCATAAAGAAAACAAACTCCCTTTTCTTTACAGTAATTGCAAAAATCAAGTTGGGCATCCTTCATTTTAGAAACACCCCTCCTTTAGAAATGACAGCTTTTATAAATGGCATCCATAAAAGACACTGCTCTTTGCTGGGCTTCAGAGACCCCCCTGGTGTCTAGACAGAGCACTTGAACCCTAGGTTAACCTCCCAGAGACAGACCTGGAAATGGCCTTGCTTGGAAAGAAGACAATGGGATATTTCGTAATGAAAGCTTTTCTTTATTCCATTATCGTTGCTTGGCACCTTCTTTCCGAATAATATATTTTCCAGCCCGTGGACAAGCATCCAGGCAACTGAAGCTTAATGTCATTTGAAATCTGTGATTTCTTCCCCTGATGTCCACTCAGTTGGGTCTGGATATTTCCTATTCTGAGTTCTCATGTTAACATTGGCAATGACCTTCTCAGACTCTTGCCACATAGTCCAAGCGACTCTGGTGCTTGTGGAGACATAAAGGCGTAAGCAGAAATGAATGCAGTTGTGTTCCCGTGGGAGGGTTAGGGTGATTTATTTTTCTTCCTTAATATTTCCTTGCCTGCTTTTAGAGCTATAGTTACCTTATTTGAGCCCTGTGATCGATTAGGCTAACTGGATACCATGATGAGAATAGGCTTTAATCCATAAACTTATAAGCTTCTATCACAGTTGAGCAGAATCCAAAAGAGACCCTAATTCCTCCTTTGGACTTCTGTGTTCCTCGGGGAGGAGAAGCGATTTTTTGGCTGGAGGAAAATTGGAATTGAAGATTTCCAGGGATGGTTTTGCCAAGACTCTTCTTCCCATGACCTGGCCTTCTCTGTTCTCACAGCCTCACGGCCACGTTGGCAAGTGTTGGTGCAGCCAGTATTCCCAGCGCCGGGCTGGTCACCATGCTCCTCATTCTGACAGCTGTGGGCCTGCCGACAGAAGACATCAGCCTGCTGGTGGCTGTGGACTGGCTGCTGTAAGTGCCTGCAGAGGGGCTTCTGCTGGGGGTTGTGAGTGCTGTCTTCCAGGGGTGGACAGGTGGCAAGGATACAATGGAGACTTTAGCTAATCCCATGGCACCCCCTCCTCCCTGGCTGCCTCCCCCCTTTCCTCTAACATTTACTGAGTGTCCACTTAGAAACCAGAGAAGAAAAAGAGGAAACTCTGAGGGCCTCACAATCTACTGGAGGAACCAGATAAACTGCAATACCAGGTTAAAAGTGAGTAGTAAGGAACAGACAAAAAAATCTCCAATCATGTATACAAAGCCAGATAGAAAGGAGCACATACCACATGATTCTATTTACATGAAGTTCTAGGAAAAGATGATATAATCTTAGCACTAAAAAGAGGTCAGGATTGTCTGAGTTTTGGGGTCGAGGTGTAGAGATGAACTGGGAAGGGGCACAAGGGAACCTAGGGAGTGATAAAAATATTCCATAGGCACAGATGTCTGCATTTGTCAAACCCACATCAAACCACACACTGAAAATGAGTATGTTCTATTGTATATAAATTACACCATAAAAACATATTAAAAATAGCACACACAAAAAAGCATAGTGGTGGAGAGAGACATCCATTCCAGTCTAGGATGCAGAGGCACAGTGGAGAAGGTCAGAAAATAGTGAAAATGGTTCCTGAATTTGAGTGCCCGCTCTGTGCTTGTATGTCCTCTTTTAACAATTGTGAAAGATTGGGGTTATTATTTTCATATTATAGACGAGGGAACTGAGGCTCAGAAAGGTAAAATAATTTGGAAATGAACAGAGATTTGACCTTAGGCGTACTGGGTTCTGGAGTCTGCCATGTTCTTGTTCATGGCCATATTCAAGCTTTAAAATGCAATGATAGCTGAGCTGAATCATACTTGACAGGTAGAAATTACCCAAGAATATGTAGTGGAGGGAAACAGAACATTCCAGTCAAGGCCAGCCTGTGCTGAGGTACAGAGGCTACTAACAGTGTACCTAGACTGTGAGGACCTATAAACGAGAAAGGCGAGGCAAGATGGACAGCCTTGAAGCTCTGCAGGGAAACTTGGACTTGACCTTGGACGTGTAGCCCAGCTACATTTCTGATGAAAGACGTTTTCTGGCCACGCTTGAAGGTAGACAAGTCTAGCCAGGTGGTCCCCAATAGGGAATTTGGAATGGACTTTCTCTATAGTCCATTTCTCACATCTGGGCACTGCTGCTCTGTGAGAAGTACTCTGATACCTCCTGTCCAGTTGTGGGGTTAAATGGTAGCGATGCCTTGGGTTTTAGTGTCAGAGGTGCAGAGTGACAAATGCTGGCACAGAGGTCTGAGGCTAAAGTGCCCACATTGGCTTTTTTGAACAGCCTTATACACCAGTGGCAATGGTCCTGACATTTATTTGCATGAATTTTAAGAGCCAGAAGCCACATTTTATGGATTCGAGTTTGTACTTCCTCCCTACTTCCATTCTCCCAAAGAGAGAAAAAAAAAAGCAAGAGACTGACAGGAAGAAGTACATCCAGGAAGGTAGAAGAAAGCCTGGTTTCTCCATAAAACGTGCCTGCTGGTGGTGCAGGCAGGGGGTTTACGTTAGAAGAAAGAAGGGGCTCTCAGGAGGAGTCATGTTATCTTCCTAACTGGCTCTTTCCTCATCAGAGAAATGGGTTGGAAATGGGAAGGTGAAGAGCAAACTAAATCATCTCAGGTCTGTGTCTGTGCAGCTCTCAGGAAGTGGGGGCTCCACCCTGCTAACTCGCCCTGTGTGGGCACCAAGGGGCAGACTTGCTCATGGTCTCCCTTCAGACAATGGCTGGAAGGTGCCCTTCCACCTTCCATTGTGATGCAGCTGACAGTCCATGGTGGGGTCTGGGTGGAAGGGTTGGGATGAAGGAGACAAAGAGTGGGGTCGGATTTAGGTGGGGAGGAGGCAAAAGAGAAATGAAGACCTTTGCAGTGGTTGCGGGGTTGAGCAGGAGCTCGGTACGTGTGTGCTGACCTTGACCACAGATGCTGTGTGGCCCTCAGGGTCTTTCCACACAGAAGACAGGGAAGCGCTCGGATTCCGCTCCCTTCTTCCATGACTTGCTGCTTCTTTACACCCTGGCCTCCTTGTCTGTTGAGTCCCTCTACTCATGTTGTCCTCCAAGGTCCCTTGCCTGTTGTGATTACTTTGCCTGGTCTCTTCTCGATCTTGTTTCTGAGGCCTGAAGTCCACCGGGAAGAGATTGATCTTTTATAAGGCTGCACCCCATCAGAATGCAAATGCCTTTGGGTTGAAAAACATTCAATAATATTTTCAAGAATGAGGAAAAGGAGCTGACATCCGGTGGGGACTGCAGTGCCTTTCCATCTGCTTTCATTTATTCCTTAAAGAGCTCCATGTTATATTTCACAGATGAGAAATGGGCAATCAGGAGGGTCAGTCTCTTGCAGAGGACCATGTGTGGCCAGGTCAGAGCCCTTTACCCCACCCAGGCTGTTTCCTCATTTGAATCAAGCAGTTTACTGGTGGAGAAGAGGACCACAGAGGTCCAGAGCTGGTGAGGCTAGGGAAGACATAACTACTAAGGTCCCTCGTGCTTTGGTTTGGATGGCTTCCAAAACTCATGTTGAAATTTAATTTTTATTGTATCATGCTGAAATTAAATTATATTCTCAGAATTAAGAGGTGGGAGCTTTACAAGTTGATTGGGCCACTAGAGGTGGGATTGGTGCCATTGTGAAAGGGTGACTTTAGCTCCCTTCTGTCTTTGCCCTTCCACCTGCCATCATGTGATGACGCAGCAAAGGGTCCCTGGCCAGATTCTGATGTCTTTATCTTTCTGTTCTCCAGAACTGTGAGAAAATAATTTCTGTTCTTCGTAATTACCCAGTCTCAGTAAGTGTTACAGCAGCATAAATGGACAGAACCATCCCTGGTTCTTCATCATAACCAAAGATTTTTTTGGTTTGACCTGTTTTCGCCTCCTTTCTCAGCATTAAAACAAAACAAGGAGCCTAAATGGGGACAAATGGGGCATGCTCAAGGCCTCACTTAGAACTCAAGTCCTCTGGCCCCAGTAGGTCTGACATTGTGGACCCTGTCTTGCTGGCAGGCATTTGCTCTCAGTTCTATTGGATGAGCGTGACTTCATGAAACATTCAAGACCCTGCCTACTTCTGACCTAAATGTTAGCAAATGGAACCGGAGGGCTGGGTCCTCTGGGATCACCTGATGCAGGTGATCACATGCTCACGCTTGCACAGAAAAGCAGGGCTGACACATGGGGGCAGAAGGGAGTTGGCTGAATAACAACTATAAAAAAAACTGACGATATATTTGGATTATCTATATTGAAGAAATCATAAGAGAAAACTATCCTCTTTTCAAACTAGAAAGAAAAGAGCACATGAAGAGCTCTTCTCTACTTCTGGGGTTCTGATCCCAGATGCGGGGAGAGGAAGGCATGTGGTTGAGGGAAAACAAGGCCAAGGGGCAGGAGACCTGGCTCTGAGCTCTGTACTTACCGTCTATGGGACTGGAGCAAATTTCTCACTCTCTGGGCCTCAGCTTTGCCGTGTACGAAATAAAACAATGACTTTGGCCTGAATGCAGGAATCTAAACCCAATATCTTCGGGTACCTTCTGGTTGTGAGTCCTGATGTTAAGATTCTGCTGGTGAAGGATGTTTGTATACAAATAAACATGAGTATTCCATTTAAGAAGGAAAGCAAAAGGGAGGGTTGGGGGTACTGGGAAGATAGGCATCTGAGCCCGTAGCTGGGTCAGGTCTGCTTTGAATTAGTAATGGTGCCACATTCTTTCTCACCAGCTAGAGGAGTTCTGGAAACGAGCTCTTAGGGTAGGCTCCATGGTGTTTGGGTGCTGGTCAATGTGTAGGTTGGGGTGGGTGTTGAGTTGAGGTGGGGGCAAGGGGGAGGCTGAGAGAGTTTCTCAGAAAAGTAGTTGGTAGAGGAAAAGCAAAGAAAAAGATGGGGGAATTTTTGTCCTCTTTAGGCAAAGTCTGTACGCTTTTATAACTCTAGCAATTTTTCAGTCTAAAACCAAACAAAGCTTCATGAAGTGACATTTAATGTGTCACAGTGCTTGCCAGCCGCTGGACACCAGCCAGCCTCATTACTGCCTGCGAAGCCCTGGATACTTTTCAATGGGCAGGCTTAGCTGATCTGTAAATGTCATGGTGAAATCCAAGATTCCAGAGCCCTGAAAAGTGCCCGAGTCCTAGAACAACAGATAGGCAGGACTGGTTAAAAGCAGAACCTTCCCCTGGATCAAGGAAGCCATTTGTGTGGGGGAAACCCTTGGCAGATATTTATAAGAGAGCTCACTGACACCCCCACTACAGAGACAGGATGGAGTAAAAACTTGGAGCCCATATTAGGGAGAGGTAGTAAGTAATTCGGTCTGGCTATAGGTTGAAAAGAAATCTAAACCCAATATCTTTGGGTGCCTTCTGGTTGGGAGTCCTGATGTTAAGATTCTGCTGGTGATGGATGTTTGTATACAAATAAACATGAGCATTCCATTTAAGAAGGAAAGAAAAAGGGAGGGTAGGGGATGCTGAGCCTCTCTTCCACACTCACATTTGATAGTGTTGGGGCAGGTACAGTTGAGATGGCCCACGAAGAGCCCTCATCCTGCAGGACAGACTCTGAAGCTCCTCTGAAGCCTCTCTGGAGGGAATAGAGTTTTGGTTCTCAAACTTGAGTGTGCACCAAAATCTGTTGCAGAATCTGTGTTGGGGCTCAGTAATTGTCACTTCTAACAAGTTCCCAGATGATGCCCATGATCAGTCCAGGGACCTCACTTCCAGAAGCAAGGAACTAGAGATCCTGATAAGAGTTCCTAAGAGTGGGCATATAAGCTCCTCTGCTCTTTTTTGAGAAAGTGTTCAAAGTTTCTGCTCCATTCAATAAAAATACCTCAAAAGGACACAGAATGCTAAGAGCTAATGTTCGATGAGTGTCCTTAACTGTTACACATTGCTCTAAGCACTT